TCTGTAAGTTTAGCTTCATTGCAGAGGTACTAGTGAGAACCATATTTATTGCCACAACTCTGTGGAAATTCAAGGTCCATGCTACCACCAAGAAGCCTGCCAGTATCTGCTCATAAGCACCATTTAAATGTTTGGTGGCAGAGCCTCTTAAAAGAGCTGCAAGGTTTTTTACCACCAATGTTAAGTCAGGAAGCCTCTCTTAAAGAGCCGTGCCTGTGCTTGCTTCTAAAAGAGTCCATCTGAGACAATGCTCCCTCAAGATTCTGTGCTTGACTGTTCTTATCTGTCTAGAATTCTTTTGTTTTTAAAGCTTTCTCAGGCTTTATGTGGAAATTCTTGCCAAACGTTTGGGTGCCATTTGTAAAAAGAGACTGTGCTTTTGTTTTCTGGCTGCCTAGATCTGAATAATTACACAAAAACTTTATTAGTTGTAACACTGTTTTGTCAATGGCTCAGGCACATTCATAGCTAGCTCTTACATCTTAAATTAACCGATTTCTATTAATCTGTATATCACCATGAGGCTGTGGTTTACCTGTATTGTTATGACGTCTTTCTCTTTTGTTGGCTACATGGTGTCCCTTTGACTCTGCCTACTCTCTCTCTTTTTGTTCGGATTTTCTGCCTGACTTTACTTTGCTAAGTCATTAGTTGAAACAGCTTTATTCATCAACCAATAAAAGCAACACATATATAGAAGGACATCTCACATCAGACAACAAGTAAGGTAAAAAATAAAAAGTACCCAAATAATTAGGAGATAAAATATCTCTAGAAATGTCATTGTTTGTTTTGTGTTGGCTCTCTTTGCTGATCATAGGGCCTGCCCCTTAAGTGTAGTTTGTATACCCAGCGAGACTCTATTGGAGAGTGGCTATCAGTTAGAGATAGCTTCTAATTAGGGAAGGGTTCATGTCTATTTCCTTCTCAGTGCTAGAACCCCATCTGGCATAGACTTGTACAGGCCCTGTGCATGCTGCCAGTCTCTGCGAGTTCATGTGTGTGTCAGCTCTGTTGTATCTGGTTTAGTGCTCCATGCAGCATTAAATAGTACAGTTTTTTAATTCCATGAGTTTTTATATTTTATGTATTTTCTTAAATGTTCATATTTTTAATAGAATGCAATATATAATATATCATTTTCTATACTCTTTGTGAGTCATTTTTGGCCCAACATATTCCAAATATATTCCAATATATTCAAAAAAGTTTATGGACTGCTAAGAAAAATGTGTATTTCTAGTGTTTGGGTGAAATGTTCTATACATACCTGTTTGGTACATTTGATTCATGTTATCACTTAACTCTAGTGTGTCTCTATTTTTTGACTGAATTACCTGCCTGTTGGTGAAAATGATGTATTGACATTACCTAGTATAACTGTGTTAGAATGGATCTGTGGATTTATATCTATTAGTGTCTGTTTTATGAAGTACAGTGTACCTCGTTGGGATGTATGTGTTTAGAATTGTCATATTCTCTTGATGAATTATACCTTTAGAGTATGAAGAGACTTTCACTGTGTGTTCTGAAAAGTCTTAGAAGTCCTTTTTGTCATTTGTTAGAATAGCTTTTCCTAATTGTTTCTTAGTTGCATTGCTAGAAATACCCCCAATTCACCCTTTTACTCTCTGAGTTAGTGTCCATCCCTGAGCATGAGAGGTGTGTTCCTTTGAAGAAGGAAAAGGGAATCTTGTCATTTTCTCTAGTATTTAATAGGGAATTAAGACTTAAAATTCAGATTTCTTATTGAGAGATGAGTTTATTTTTGCAGTTTTGCTAATTTTATTTTGTTTCCTTAAATCTCTTTTGATTGACTACCCTGTCACTGTTTTTCCCTCTGGTCTCTAGAGTGTGTTTATTATTCTTGTCAGTTTGAAGTGTTCCTCTGCAATAGTTTTTGCAGAGTTGGTTTAATGGTCATACTTTTTCAGTCTGTTTTTATCATGGAACGTTTTTACTTTTCCCTTTACTTAGGAAAGAAAATTTTGCAATTATAATAGCCTGAATTGACAGTTGTGTTTCCTTAGAACTTTACTTGCAAGAACTTCTGCCTTTGTTTTTGTTTATTAATTTTTATTGAGCTCTACATTTTTCTCTGCTCCCCTCCCTGCCTCTTCTCTCCTCTTCAGCCCTCCCCCAAGGTCCCTATGATCCCAATTTACTCAGGAGATCTTGTCTTTTTCTATTTCCCATGTGGATTACAACTATGTATGTCTCTTAGTGTCCTCATTGTTGCCTAAGTTCTATGGGATTGTGATTTGTAGGCCAGTTTTCTTTGCTTTATGTTTAAAAACCACTTGTGAGTGAGTATGTGTGATAATTGTCTTTCTATGTCTGGGTAACCTCACTCAAAATAATGTTTTCTAGCTCCATCCATTTGCTTGCAAATTCCAAGAAGTCGTTATTTATTTTCTGCTTTGTAGTACTGCATTGTATAAATGTACCACATTTTCCTTATCCATTCTTTGGTTGAGGGGCATTTAGGTTGTTTCCATGTATTGGCTATGACAAACAATGCTGCTATGAACATAATTGGGCACATGTCCTTGTGGCACAACTGAGCATTTTTTGGATATATACCCAAAAGTGGTATTACAGGGTCTTGTGGAAGGTTGTTTCCCAATTTTCTGAGAAATCACCACACTGACATCCACAGGGGCTGTACCAGGTTGCATTCCCACAGCAATACAGGAGTGCTCCCTTTACCCCACAACCTCTCCAGCATAAGTTGTCATCATGTTTTTGATCTTGGCCATTCTTACAGGTGTAAGATGGAATTTCAGAGTTGTTTTGATTTGCATTTCTTTGATGACTAAGGATGCTGAACATTTCCTTAAGTGTCTTTTAGCCATTTTAGATTCATCTGTTGAGAGTTCTCTGTTTAGGTCTGTACTCCACTTTTTTATTGGATTATTTGTTCTTTTGATGACCAAATTCTTGAGTTCTTTGAATATTTTGGAGATCAGACTTCTGTCTGATGTGGGGTTAGTGAAGGTCTTCTCCCATTCTATAGGCTGTCATTTTGTCTTGTTGACCATGTTTTTTGCTTTACAGAAGTTTTCCAGTTTCAGGAGGTCCCATTTATTAATTGTTTCTCTCAGCGTCTGTGCTTCTGGGGTTAGATTTAGGAAGTGATCTCCTGTGCCAATGCATTCAAGTGTACTTCCCACTTTCTCTTCTATAAGGTTCATTGTGGTTGGCTTTATGTTGAGGTCTTTGATCCATCTGGTCTTAAGTTTTGTGCATGGTGATAGATATGGCTCTATTTTCATTCTTCTACATGTTGATATCCAGTTATGCCAGCACCATTTGTTAAATACGCTTTCTTTTTTTCATTTAATTTTTTTTGTGTGTGTCTTTGTCAAAAAATCAGGTGTTCGTAGGTATGTGAATTAGTATCTGGGTCTTTAATTTAAGTCCATTGGTCCACCTGTCTGTTCTTATGCCAATACCAGGCTGTTTTCAGTACTGTAGCTCTGTAATAGATTTCGAAATTAGGGATTGTGATGCCTCCCAAAGTTCTTTTATTGTACAAGATTGTTTTGGCTATCCTGGGTGTTTTGCTTTTCCACATGAAGTTGAGTACCATTCTTTCAAGGTCTGTGAAGAATTTTGCTTGGATTTTGATGGCCATTGCATTGAATCTGTGGATTGATTTTGGTAAGTTTGCCATTTTTACTATGTTAATTCTGCCTACCCAAGAGCATGAGAGATCTTTCCACTTTTTGGTGTCTTCTTCAATTTATTTCTTCAAAGATTTAAGTTCTTGTCATATAAGTCTTCCACTTGTTTGCCTAGAGTTACTCCGAGATAGTTTATGCTATTTGTAGCTATGGTGAAGGGTGTTGTTTCTTTTAACCAATCAGTTGTGATTCTGACAAGCTTTTATTTTACATTTATTTTTGCATAACATTCGGAATGATTGTGATTTGTGTCCTTTAAACTTTGAATAATAACACCTTTAAATGAGAGCAATTAGATATCAGATTGTATATAATTGTTTTAAATGTATGAGTATTTTCCCAGCATGTATGTAAGTGTACGTCATGTGCTATGTACTGAGGACTGGAAGAGTATACTAGATCCCTAGAACTGGAGTTACAGGAAACAATGCACCTCCATGTGAGTGCTGGGAATGGAACTCAATCCCCTCTGTAAGAATGACAAGTGCTCTTAACTGTGAACCATCTCTCCAGCTTCCTATTACTAATTCTTTTAGTATTTCCTTAAATGAAAATTATGTTTGACCAAATAAATGTAAAAAATTTGTCAGACAGAACTTACCAAAATTGGAAAATATTTAATATAGGAAAACATGTAAATAATTGAGTAATAGAAAAGCACAATTCATATTTATGTTGAGTGTAGTTCATTTAAAAGGGTTTAATAATTCTTTAATTTTTCATGGAAATAATAGACTTATGAAAGTATCCAAAGAAGTCAGACAAGTTGAGGTTCAAGAACAGTGTGCCCAGTTATCTGTGCTTCTGACTAGACTGGAGGTACAGATTCTTGTTGTAGAGGAAATTGGGTTTGAGTTCATGACTTTATTTTGTATTTCATGTAGAGGTGTGACTCCATAAAGGAAAACACTGCCTCTTATTCCTCTTCGCAGCCAAGTCAGAGCCAGTATTGCCAATATCAAGATATCTGTCAGAATGATGTCCTTAGTATTTGTAAATTTAATTATAACAAAGAGCTAGAACTTATCACATTTTATCTTGTTTATAAGCCTAATTTTCCTTCATAAAGTAAGGAAGGCGGTGATAGAATACATACTTCTTAGTGACTTATAAAATATTTTAAATAAATTTAATTTCATAAATGTGTTTAACTTTAAACAATTGTTTAAAATGAATGGTAGACTTTCCTTTTTGTGTGTTATATGTATCTTAACTACAGATAAAAAATTTGAGACTTTTTCCTCTACATTATTTGTTCTAAATTTATATTAGCCTTACAGATAATTAATCTTTAAAATTTTATTTCGAATGTAGGCTAAAAATCTCATAGAGAGATTTTTTAATCAGCAAGTAGAAGTCCTGGGCAAACGTATGGAGCCACTGCCTGAAATATACTACATTGAAGGAACACTTCAAATGGTGTGGGTTAACCGCTGCTATCCTGGTTATGGGATAAATTTCCTGAAACATCCAAAGTGCCCTGAGTGCTGTGGTATGTAATAAACTACATTTCAGGTTTTATGTGGATAAAAATTCACTTACTTTGATTATGTTTAACTGAATATTTATCTTCTTTTAAAACTGTCACTTAGATTTTGACTTATTTTAAATTATATATTTGAAGAAGCTGATTCTAAATATGTGCAAATAATATATTTTATTCTATTTTTGAGAATTCTTTGAAATATATCTTTAATATCATTTATTCCCCTTTATTTTCCTCTCTATGCTGTGAATACAACTGGTTAATAAAGAAACTGTCTTAGGACTGTGATAGGATAAAGCTAGGTAGGGAAAACTAAACTGAGTGCTGGGAGAAGGAAGGCAGAGTTAGTGAGAAGCCATGTATCCCCACCAGAGACAGATGCTAGAACTTTACATGTTAAGCCATAGCCTCGTGGTGATACACAGATTAATGGAGATGGGTTAATTTGAGATATGAGTTAGCCAGAAATATGCTTAAGCTATTGGCCAAACAAGTATTGCAAATAATATGGTTTCTGTGTGATTATTTTGGGGCTGAGCAGCCAGGAACAAACAAACCGCAGCCTCTTATGACACCTTCCCACAGATACCATCCCTTTATTTTACTCTTCCACCTTTTGTGCAAAATTTTAAAATTTTTAAAAAAGAAAAAGAAACTGTCTTGCAACAGACGTCCTGGCCACCTGGCTCTTTCAGCCTTTCTGCCACCTCTTCCATAATGTCGCCTAGGTCTAAAGTATAGAGGTTGTTCTGTAAATATATCCAGTGGGGATGGTCACCTCAAGATTAGTAGTTTGGTGCTATGAGCAGTTGTAATTATGAGCAATTTCTGTAATTGTATATATCAGCTGTGAAGAGAGGCTGCTTTGAAGAGGGGTGAGAGCAACCTTCTGTGGACATGAAGGTGTGTTTAGAGTGCAGTTAGAAACTATCCTAGTTTATCAAAGTGGCATCTGTATGTTCTCCTCCAGACCTGTGTCTGAAGGGTGCCTTCAGTATTAGTGCGCTAACTTCTTTTTCCAGAAGACACCTAGGGCATAGCCTATAATATTTTGGGGATCTATTGGGTTCTCCTGATCAATAATTTGAAATAAAGTTTACCATGCCTGCCATTGGGGGTTATGTTAGGCTATGCTTTGAGGGGGAGCATTGCCACCCCAAGCAATGCGACTTCAGCTGAAGCATATATATCTCTATATATGCACATATACTTAATACTATATATAATTTAAACATAAAATGATTCTTTATGGCATTATCAACTATCCTTAATGTTACTTGTCTCTCCTCTCACTCTCTGTGCCCTCTCTGCTCCTCCCTTTTCCTTCACAGCAGCTGTGTCCTGCTACTCCCCTCTAAAGCTCGTGCCTCCCACCATAGCCCCTCTTTACTTTTCTGTCATTTGCGGTTGCTCTGGGTTATATACTCAGGTCTAAAGATTCGAAGCTGGTATCCACAGATAACACATGCAGTGCTTGTCATTCTAGGTCTGGGTTACCTCATTCAGCATAATATTTTCCCGTTCCATCCATTCACCTGCAAATTTCGTTATTTCATTTTTTTCTTTACAGCTGGGTAGAGTTTCATTGTGTGTAATACTGCATTTTCTTTCCTCATCCTTCAGTTGGAGAACACTTAGGTTGTTTCCATTTCTAGCTATTGTGAATAGAACAGCAGTGAACATGACTGAGCAGGTACCCGTGAATTGTGATGTGGTGTTCTTTAGCATATACTGGAGTAATCATATGGGAACTTTATTTTTAGCTATTTGAGAATTTTCCACACTTACTTCCATAGTAACTTTACCAGTTTGCAATCCCACCAATACTTATATCCATGTTAATATTTGTTGTCTGTCAGTCGTTTACTTGATCTTACCTATTCTGACTGGGGCAAGATGATTTATTAGGGTTCTCTAGAGGGATGAAACTTATAAAATGTGTATTATTGTACATATATATATATATATACATACACCTACATATGTATGTTTGTATTGATTTATGCAAATTATAAATCAAAGTAACTTACTGGCTGTGGTCCAGATAGTCCAACAATGGCTGTCTACCAATGGAAGGACCAAGAATCCAGTCGCTGTCCAGTTCATGAGACCGGATGTCTCATTTGCTCTTCAGTATACATCAGAATCTGAAAGAAGTAGACTCTAATACCAGTGAAGGAATAGACTTGTCATCAAGAGCAAGTAGGCAACACTTTCTTTTTCCCATGTCCTTTATATAGGCTTCCATCAGAAGGTGTGGTGCAGATTAAAGGTGAATTTTTCTTCATCAATAGATGTGGATTAAATGTGTGTCTTCCCACTTCAAATGATTTAATTAAAAAAAATGCCTTCAAAGGTGTGCCCAGACATTTTGGTAATAGTTACTTCCAGATATAAACAAGTTGATAGCCAAGAATATCTATTGCAATTGAATTCTCAAAGTTGTTTTATTTTTATATCCCTAATTTTTAAGGATGCTGAACATCTTTTGAGATATTAGTTATTTTTATTTCTTCTTTTGAATCTTCTCTGTTCAAAGATAAGTCCACTTTTTTTTTTTTAATTTTTGAGACAGAGGTTCTCTGTGTAATAGCCCTAGCTGTCCTGGAATTATCTCTGTAGACCAGGTGGGTCTCAAACTCACAGAGCTCTGCTTGCCTCTGCCCCACAAGTGCTGGGATTACAGGTGTGCACCACCACTGCTCAGCATAGTAGTCCAATTTTCAATTGTTGGAATGCTTGTTTTCTTCTCTTTTGTGTGTGTGTGTGTGTGTGTGTTCTGAGCTTCCATCCTCTGTCAGATGTATAGCTGGAAAAGATTCTCACTCTGGGGGCTTCTTCACTCATCTGACTTTTTGTTATGCACAGTGTTTTAGCTTTATGTTTATATTTGTGTTTATGTTTTTGAAGCCCTATCTGTCAGCCTTCATTCTTGGGAAAATAGGGTCCTTTTGTGAAAGTACTTTTCTTTTTTTTTTCTTTTTTTAAATTTATTTATTTATTAAAGATTTCTGTCTCTTCCCCACCGCTGTCTCCCCTTTCCCTCCCCCTCCCCCAATCAAGTCCCCCTCCCTCATCAGAACAAAGAGCAATCAGGGTTCCCTGCCCTGTGGGAAGTCCAAGGACCACCCACCTCCATCCAGGTCTAGTAAGGTTAGCATCCACGAAACTGCCTAGGC